CGCCCACTGCTCCAACGACGGTCGCTCAGGCGACTGTCCCGCGCACAGCAACCGACACTACCACCACCTCCCCCGACTCCAGGGATGAGGATCAGGACTACACCTGCCCTCACTGCGACCGTACCTTCACCTCACACATCGGCCTGGTCGGTCACTTGTGAATCCATCGCACAGATACTGGCGAACCAGTGCGTGAAGCACCAACCTACACCCACCGCACTCGCCTCCACTGCCCACACTGCCCTCGCACCTTCAGGCATCGCATGGGCCTTTTCGGCCACATGCGCATCCACGAGAGCGGCCTTGACCGCATTCCCTACACACCCACCACATCCAACACATCCACCGTGCACACTCTCACCCTCGTTTCATCCGTCAAAGCCACCACTACCACCACCGCCTCCTCTGTAGCTGACACTGACACCGCCGACTTCTCATGTCCACAATGTCCACGCACATTCACCTCACGCATCGGCCTGGTCGGTCACTTGCGAATCCATCGCACAGAGACTGGCTTACCAGTGCCCGGAGCACCCACCTATACCCACCAAGCTCGTCTCAACTGCCCAAACTGCCCTCGCACTTTCAGGTATCGCATGGGCCTATTCGGCCACATGCTCATCCACGACGACCTGCGGTAGACAACCGCCGGCCACACCACACATTCACTCACTCCCTACCTCCTCCACCACCACCATCACCCCACCAGAAATCAACACTCACACACATCATGCACCCAACTGCCACCTCCCACGCAAGTGGGATGTCCGCATCTCGACTCGGTTCCCATGCGGCTTCGGCTGCACGGGTGACTTGAGTCCGAGACTATCCTGACACGTCAGGCGTCGTGGATAGGAAGGTTGCTGATTGACGCCCGCTTTTGGTTCACGCAGTTCGTCGCGTTGTGTGTGTGTTGTGTGGAGTGGCGGACTGGTGGGCTGGGAACGGGCTGAAACAGCACCTTCCACGGCACTCTCACGCAAGTGAGAGACACGCCGTTCAACCCCCGTTGTGTGAAATCCTGGTGTTTGTGTGTGTATGGGGGGCCAGGTCGTGCCGTGACGCGCGCAGTCATGGTCAGTCGACCATGACAGCCACCGCGCCCATTCCCCACTCCAGTCTGCTGACCGGCTCGGACAGCGGCTGGGGTGTGGGAGTGGGAAGAGAGAGTGAGGTCGACGACTCAGCGCACTTTCTCCTCACTATAAACAATCTGACGCGCTTGAAGCTATCACGGTGCGCTAAAAGCCGTGGCTTGGAAAGTTGCCAACTGACGGGGTATCTTGGACCTCCTCCTTGACCGGAGGCGGTCTGAGAGTCAGGTTGCAATGGCTCCTTTTTAATGTGGCCTTTATGGCACTTCCATCACAGTGTGGGATCCGAGCCAGGCGTTGGCGGCACGCCCAGGTGCAGCTTCGGCCGTGCCAGCCTCCAAATCTCTGTCGCGTTGGTTGAAATCCTGGCTATTTGTTGTGTGGACCGGGGGTGTGGTGGAACGCCAAGGTGAGGATCCGTCCGAGCCATCAACCAGCGGCCTCTCTCGTCTCCGGTCTTCTTGACTCTGTCTTGACACCGGGCTCGGGCGAGGGAGGAGGAGAGAGTATAGGTAGATGCTACGCAAGTTTACCGGCACTATAAACCCCTGCGTAAGTCACCGTCCCTGCTCCCATTGCTGCTGCAACTGTGGGGCACACGGTGGACATCATCGAAACCGATGGTCGAACTGTCATATGCAACTTTTGATTCCGTTTTATCTTAGGGACTTTTTCATCAACCTGCAGTAGGTGAAAGGTAATGATTCACTCAGGTAGGCATAAGGCAAAACATTTTCGTTATGCGATCAAAAATTAGCCCATGGTGCCATAAAATTACTTTGTAGTAAACTCACAGTGGCAACATTCTTGCGATCAGTTCTTCTGTTTTTACTTTCTCCTCCTCGAGTTCCAGCGTCCGCTCTCGCACTTGAGATTCCAAATCTGCTGAGTATTTTTCCATCATATTCAACATATGGTCAATAATGTTAGCCTTTCTACAAAGAAGATGAAATATTAACGCAAACCTACTTATTGCACTAAAAGGAAGCTCAGTGATACATGGATGAGTCTTGTTACTGCGTGCAAACATGCGATGGGCAATTACTTCTCGGCGTTAAAGAAGTTTAGCCTGATTGGGGAAAGTAACAGGTTGTTTAGATTCGTTGTACAAATTCAACAGTTTTGCAAGTTTTATTTTTTCTACGAGCTGATTAAGAACGCCACATCTGGCAAATGAAGGCGTCAATTGGTCCTCTTATCAAATGCACATTACACGGACAGTCCCGAAAGTTAAGTTACTCAAAGGTTAGCATTGCGTATACATACAGTATCCCATACTGCTCAGGGGATTTCAAACCTGAAAGATGAGATTACTTTGGAGTCCAGCTCAAACGCAATTCTCAATTGCTAAAGCGATTCCGGGTTAGTTTTGACTTTTAAATCATTAAACACTGTCCAATTACCTACCCGAATTGACCTCGTTCATAGGACTATTTTCTGCAAAGTACTGGAAGGCCTGAGAGCGGAACTCACTTTCCCCTGCTATACTGTTCCAGTTGTACGATAATTTCCTGGAATGTTGGACGGAAATCTGGGTTTTCTGTCCAGCAAGACCGCATTATATCCTTGTAAAAATATGGGATCTCCGGAATGTTCACCTTAAAACCAAAACAATTTTTTCTGGATTACTTGCTGGACAGTCATAAACCATGTGCTTGAAAATATTTGCCTATAGCACCAGTGGAATGTACAACAGCCTCGAAATAATAGAACTACAGAGTGCATTGATTACAAGTTGCGTATGTGTGGATTGTCCCCCGATCACCCCACCGTGTCTGTGCGCATAAACATTCCTGCGTACACACGCGAGCATTGTAGAACCAAGGTCGGTTGTCTTTCTTGTGAGCGCTCTCACAACCAAACCAAGTCGTGCCATACCAAGGAACTTGAATGACAAAACAACCAGCGGCCGTCCCGTCCCTCCGTCCCTGGAACTGTCACCTGTGACAAGGGTTCAGTCTCGTGTAGAGTTGAAGGTCCTACTTCTTGTTTTTCGAAATATTGTTACTTACGACTTCACCTGATGCTTGCATTGACAGTGACATTCTGATTATCTTATCCACGACATTCGTAAAGATTGGACAAAAAGAGGCAAACCGCGTTTCTTCATTATGTCCGACTGCTGCATTTTCATACTTGTTTTTGCGTCATAGCTTTTTGCCTTCTAGTTTACGTTTCGGTTATTGGAATTTTTAGACATCAACTGGAACACTACAACTTCACCACTGACAGCAGGTGTATAGTTGAATTGTTATGTCCAACCACTGCAATGCGAGGGTGGCCCTCAATTCCATGTAACCGGTTTTCCTGTATCCCATTACTATTAGCCGAAAAACGATATTTTTGAGTTCAGTCTATAGCTTACAAGAATGGAATTCAACTGAGTAAGCCGCCGTTAAGCGTCTGATATAGAGAAGTTCCACACAAACAAACAAAAAAATGAATGTGACTAGGGAGGACAATTCCTATCTGCTCTATAGAATTGATTTTTGAGGGTCTCGAAAATTAATGAGAAAATGAATGCTTTTTCAGTAGTCATTTTTGCGGAGTATGGTTTTTAGATGCAGCTGGAAAGAAGTTAGTCCGAAAGCTGGCGTCCGAGGCAACCGAGTTATTATAGGGTTATGCTCTACGATGATTGCTTTTACAACTCTATTTAATTAATCTTTTCAAACGAAAATGCATTCCTGAATTTCTGTTAAGATTTCCTGAGTTAGCCCACCTACTGTACGCTCGACGGAATAAAAACGTCAGAGTTGTGTATAAGTACAAGAGTATGAGGGTAGGGGTTGCCCAGATTACAGGCGTCAGAATCCTCGAACATTTGTTTACCCCACATAGGTGGAGGGAATCCGAAGTTATAAAAGACAAGGTTTTGGCTTTTTGCTCGTATTCTTGTCGACTGATCGTTTTAGCTAAGTGATATTGCCATGCTAAACCCCTGCTCCCAAGTGCTCGGGAGACAATATTGTCTGTCGACCTATACCGTGAACATTATTCGTGCGTCTTTAAACGATGGCAAAAAATTCAAATTCTCGATAGGCGGAACGAAAG